AAAATTTCAACCAGGCACAGGGAAAAGAAAAAATGCTGAAAACTAGGACCAGGTAGGGGAAGATTAATAATAATAATAAAATAGACAAAAGTATTAATAATATTGTTTTAAAACAGACAAATACAAGCAAACTAATCACCAGAAAAAAGAAAGTGAAAAAGAAAAAAAACAAAAAATAAAAATCGGTGGAGGTCAGGGCAGGGCGCGCAGGCTCCGTCTGAGCACACTGACTGTGATGGAGTTCCTTTGGGCCCAGAAGGTAGGTGGGAGTGGGGGATGGCTGCACCTCCATTCACCAAGCAGGTGTGGGATATAAGAGTAAGAAGAGGAATGTTGTACATTTTCAGTCTTGCAGGTCCCAAGTGTCCTTGGAGTTGCTGGAAAGCAGAACTTGTTCTTAAGCCCCAGGAATCTGCGAGAGCGCTGTCTCTTTAAATATCCAAAATAGTCAAGCTGTTTTTTAAACCTTCAAAATGGCGGCGTCCTCTGGACCGGCAAAAGTCCACAGCTCAGCCCACCTTTCTCCTTACCTTCTCCATTTATTCCCCAGCCACCATGCACAGTCCTCCGTGCAGTTCCTGGCTAGCAGGGTGATTTTTTAGGTTAATTCTTAGGTCCTACCACCACTCGGGAATCTCCAAGCTGTCTGTGCCATCAGGATCACTGCCAGACCACAGCTCCGTCTGTCTCCTTTTTGGGTATTTTAGCGCAATTTCTTCTGCTAGTTGGGGTTTAGTCCACTTCTATATCCTTCCTTTCAAGGCTCAGGGGTCCAAGATTATCTTCTGTGTCTTTGTTAATTGTTTTCCCTTTTCTTTGTTGAAGAGGGTCTGTGCAGTCTTTGTGCCTAGTCTGCCATCTTGCCGGAACTCTGCTGTTGTCAGTTTAGGAACACTGGTAACACAGAGGATAAAGTGCTCAGTTGTGAACCAAAAGGTTCAAATCTACCAGCTGCTCTGAGGGAGAAAGGTGTGGCAGTCTGCTTTCTTAAAAATTTACAACCTTGGAAGCCCTGTAGGGGAAGTTCTACTCTGTCCTATAGAGTCACTATGAGCTGGAATCCACTCGATGGCAGAGGGGTTTGGTTTTTTGGGCTGGGTTGTTAGTCTGATTACCTTTAATTGTGGGATATTTTTCCTTGGTACTGAACTCCTGGTCTGAATGACTTTTGTTTGCTTTATGTTTAGCATTTTACTGATGCCCTTTCTTTGTTTCCTGGCTTCTGTTGTTTTGTGATAAATATCAGTTATCATTCTTCCTGTTTCCCTGAATGTCTTTTTTTCTTTGTTTCAGTTCAGGGCTTTTTCATCTTTGGTTTTTGGGAGTTGGACTATGACATGCTTCCATGTGTTTTCCTTTGAATTTATCCTCTTTGGGGTTTCCTGAGCTCTCTGGATAGATGGATTGTCATCAGTTGGTAACCTTCTCAGGTCTCATCTCTTTAAATATTTCTTCTGCTCTGTTTCCTTTCTTCCCTCCTTTGGGAAGTTCAATTTCAGAGAGTAGACCATGGGATTTTGTCCCATAGTCTCTAGCATTCTTCTTTGTTTACCCTTTTCTTTCTTTCTAATTTTCCTTCTTGTCTCCTCTGTGTTATGATTTGGATAATTCTACTGATGTGACTTAAGTTGAAAACTCCCTTCTTCAGCTTTATCTAGTCTGGTGTTTGGGTGACTCAGTGAAGTCTTTGTATCAGATCTCTGAGCCTGCAGCCCTTACTCCTGGGCTGTGGCCTCTCTGGGGTCTCACCTGAGTGCCTGGGCTGCAGCACTGTCTCCATCCCCTGTTGGCAGCAGCTTCAACACTCCAGCTCTGCAAGACCTCTGCAATCTCCATTCAGCTTTCATGACACCTGATGGAGAAGCACTTGGTGACCATAGGGTGCAGCTTGTCTCAGGGCTCGGTGGACGTGAGCATGGGCCACTCGAGCTCTGTACGCCCCTTGACAGCAGCCACGGTGGGGTCCTGGAACCACCCACGCAGCCCAGGCCTGATGCCGGTGGTGACTTCTACTTGCTCTGCTTTGGCAAGAAGGTGTGTTTGTGGACATTGTGTTCGAGAGAAGCGGGGCATCACTGCTGCAGGTGCTGCACATGTGCCTGTCTCATTATTCTTGAATGTGAACTCAGAATATTTCAAGGTAGCCACCACTAGTTGACCTAAGTTGTTTTGCCAATTGAAGTTTATTATTCATGTTTATACCAGATGACCTTCAAGTTTCCCTATTCCTGGACACATAGAGAGTTTAGCCCTGCTTTCTGTTACCTTGGATAAGGTGACCTGGAAGGAAGAGCCGTCACCAAAGGGTTCCACTTTCTAATGTCTTCAGTTTACTAGCACAATATCAACTGGAGTTATTCTGATTTCCCTTACACTGTTTGAATTCTTTAAAGATCTGTATAGGAGAGAGTAGGTAGCGAGTGTGAGTTGTCTTGTCTCAAGATTGGCATGAAGGTGTACTATGAATGTTCATAAGGTTTATTTTGTAGTTAATAAAAGTGTTATCACTTGTTTCTTTGCCTATAGTATAAATACAAGGAAATAAATTTTAGTAAATAAATATTTAAGAAATGTGTAAACCACTGTGGCTTAACAAACACAGACTTCAAGGGAATCATTGGCTTTACCCATCCCCAGAGGCTAATGAAGCTCTGGTAGCATAGTGCCTAAGGCATTTGACTGCTAACCAGAAGGCTGGTGGTTCAAACCCACCAGCCACTCCTTGGAAGGAAGATTGGGCAATCTACTTCCATAGTGATACTGCCTCAGAAACCCAAGGAGGGGTCGTTGTGAGTCAGATCTGACTGGACAGCAATGAGTGAGTGAGTGAGCCAGAGGCTAATGGAATGGGCTTTATGAAACTTTTAAGGGGGGGCATTCCAAAGATAAGGGTGCTCTGTGAACAGGCCTTGCCTCTAGCATCTCAAGAGTTTTTGATATTCCAGACACTCTAGAATATTTCTAAACTACTAGTGTAGAATGATTACTTTTATGCTTTGAGGCTTGGTGACCTTGGCATCTTTCCCTTTTCCTCAACCAAGAGTGCATTTCTGCACCAAGTGTTTTCCTGCCTCAGACAGCAGCTGTGACAGATCACAAGCTCCCAACTACTGGGAAGGAGTGAAAATGAGCTGCAAATCCTTTAAAAGTCTGAAGTTTGGGTTTTAAATTGAATTGTGAACGTATGTCAATGTGTGAGGGAGAGAGAGAGGACCCTGGGGTGAAGCTGCTGCTGACCAGCTATGTGACCTTAGCAGCCACTTAACTTCTCTTGGACTTCATGTCCATATTTATATGATCAAGATATAGGACTGCTGATCTCTGGGGTCCTTACAGGTCCAGCATTTCATATTCTGGTTGTTACTGTTTATCTGATGTCATTTTCTTGTTTAGACAGTAAAGAAAGTTCTGTGGAAAGATCAGAGTGTTAAAGAGTAGTTGGAATCCTATCTATTTGTTGGTCTCTATTAGAATGGTTTCAGTATCAGCAGACAAGGGGAGAACACCCGCCTTTGGAAGACCCTGAATATGGCTAGTAGGTTGGCGTTGAGTTGACTTTCACTCATGGTGACCCTTCATGTGTCAGAGTAGAACTGTGCTGTATAGGATTTTTAGGAGCTCTGGTGGCATAGTGCCTAAGGCATTTGACTACTAACCAGAAGACTGGTGATTCAAACCCACCAGCCAGTCCTCGGAAGGAAGATTGGGCAATCTACTTCCGTAGTGATACAGCCTTGGAAACCCAAGGAGGGGTTGCTGTGAGTTGGATCCGACTCGATGGCAGTGCGTTTGGTTTGGTTCTATAGGATTTTCAGTGCCTGATTTTTTGGAATTAGCTCACTAGACCTTTCTTCCAAGGTGCCTTTGGGTGGACTCAACCCTCCAACCTTTCAATTAATGGTTGAATGCATTAATGAGTCATAAAATTTATTTAATTATTCATTTTATGTATTTAGCCATTCATTCAATAAATGCTCACTGAATGCCTACCATATGCCAGGTACTGTGGATGTAGCAGAGAATAAGATAGAAGATACTGATTTTGATAGGTAGGTTTGATAGGTAAGTGAATAAACTCACAAAAAATACAGTAATTACAGATAACAAGGTGGTGAGAAAGATATACACACAGTGATAAAAGAATGTGTGTGTGTGTGTGTGTGTGTGAGAGAGAGAGAGAGAGAGAGAAAGGGAAGAAGAAGAGAGAGAGGAAGGGAAGGAGGTGGTAATGATGGATATTTTAGGTGTAAGATAGCCAGGGAAAGCTTTTCTAAGGAGGCAATAATTAAGATGATACCTGAATGAATAAATGAAATGAGCCAAAATGATTTCATGTAGTTAGTAGTATTTAGTGTTCTTAAAAACCAAGGTCATTCTATTACTTTGTGTGATGTTTGTATGCAAAGGTGATATTGACTTAGGCACCAACCAATTAGAAAGGAACTTGCCTGGGCCCTAGAGCCTCAGAGGCCCATGCTGTGTCAGGTATTAAGTCCTTAATTGCTAACTTGTTGGGAAGCCTGGGTAGGCTGTAGGGGAGGGACTAAAAGCAGGAGTGGCCCTCAGAGGGCTGGGGAGAAGGTGTGCGGCCATTTACCCATTAAGGTATGGATGTATTTCACTATTTAAACAAGCATGTGTAACAGGTGAGCATAAGCCATGCAGTGTATAATTTTTAAGATCCAAGAGATTTTGATAATTAAAGAGATCATCTTTAATTCTGACCACTTTACATTGTTTAGTAGAGAAAGGAGAAGGTTAAATTCTTTCAATACCAGGCATCTATAATATTTTATAATTCTGGATCATATTTAAGGAGTTAGCATTATCATACTCCCAAGAAAGTAAATAACATAATACATGTGTCTCTTATAGGCGACATCACTGCCCACATCTCCCTACCAAGATTTATGATAAAACAGAGCAACCATGTCTTTTTTCCGAGTACACCGAGAACTACCCTCTCTATCATTCTTACCTGCCCAGAGAGTCTTTCAAGCCCAAGCTCGAGTACAAGAAAGGGTCCATACCAATGGAAGGCCTGACCACATCACGGTGAGGACAAATTGTATTAATGTGTAGATCCACAGCATTAAAGCAGCAATGTACAGTATAGATGTATAATACTAATGTAATAATGTACACTATTAATAAATGAATGCACAATATCAATATCCAATATTAATATCTTAACGTTAATGTATGCTATTGTTGAAAGGAAATCTAGCTTTTATTAGCCTGCTAGATATTTCCCAGTTCCTTCTTAAAGAGAAAAGATTCTTGCTTGTTGGGCATGGAGAGACTAAGTTGATCTACATCTTATAGGATTGGAGGTTAAGTAAAGTAATAAAGATATGAAAAGATGGGTTGGAGAAGTAGAAAGGAGGAGCTGCTGTTGAGAAAAGAGTTTGGGGCTTTGACCCAGGAGTGGCTCCAGCACCACCCGGGAGCAGTGATAGAAAAGAACTTGTGAATAAAGGAAGAATGGACTTTTGAGAAATAATGGTGCTGGTTTTGAGTTGGAGCTCTCTTGAATGTTCTTCAAGGAGTCCCTGGGTGGTATAAATGGTCAACACACTAGGCTGCTAACCAAAAGATAGGAGAGCCAAGTCCACCCAGAAACCAAAAACCAAACTCATTGCTGTCGAATTGGATGCGACTCATAGTGACCTCTCCTTGGGTTTCCGAGGCAATATCACTACAGAAGTAGATTGCCCAATCTTCCTTCTGAAGAGTGACTGGTGGGTTTGAATTGCCGGCCTACTTAGGCACTATGCTACCAGAGCTGCCCAGAGGTACCTTGAAAGAAAGGCTGGAGAACTACTCCAAAAAAATCAACCATTAAAAACTCTATAAAGCACAGTTCTGTTCTGACACAAATGGGGTCGTCATGGGTCAGAATCAACCTGATGGCAACTGGTTAAATGTTCTTAAAGAAATATGAACAAAGAATAGATTTTTGTTTTAAATTACTCTTGATTTCCAAACTGTGATTCTTTAGATCTACCTGGATCTAGGGTTGCAGAAATGTCTGTATTGAGAAGGTGGGGAAAAATGACCAACCTCAGGATTGCTCTATAGGTTTCAAGACCCTAGCAGAATCTACCTCTGGCAACTTGGTTAGTGACCTCCAAGTGGTGACCTGTGACTTGTGACCCAGTGGAACTAAAACATCTTTGAGTGTAATTGGGCAGGTTTCAGAGTGTGTAGTTTTGTCCCCAGGTGAGACCTGAATGGTTTATGTGTTCTCTGCCTTATCTTTCTCAATCTCTACTGTGCAGGATTGCTTTGAGAAGGGGATGAATTCACTATGTACATTGTTCTAGGACAGGGCTTGTACATGATAGGTGCCCAAGACATGGTGGTAGTTCTTCCTGTTGTTCTTCCTCTGCCTTGTAATTTTGGGCTTTCCTATTAAAGATCTCAGGTGGTTCAGGTGAAGCAGAATAGCCCTAATTCATTCTGTATCAGTTTCTCCCCTTGGTGTTCCTTGGCTTGTAGATTGATCCTCCCCAGGACAGTTTCCTTGTTGACATTAGGGGTTGGAGGCATGAACCACAAAGCCACAGGAAGTCCATGTCAGAGCATGGGTGAAGGGCCCATGAGGTGAGGAATGAAGCCAAGGGATTCCTGAGTTTGATGGGAACCACTGGGCAGCAGCGGATTGAGAATGGGTGGAGTGAAGGCCCTTGTCTGATTTGAATCAGATCACCTTTAAGCAGTTATTTTAAGTGAGTTTATTTACATGAAATATTTCTGGACTATGATCCATTAAAAGTTGTAAGCTGTGCAACTGTGTTGTCAATCTATGACTTTTTAAACAATATGAAGTTTAAAGTTGGACCTTCATTTTGCCAAAAAAAACAGCGTCTTTAGTTTCTATCTGTGTAAAGATCACAATGGAGTCCCTGGGTGGTGCAAGCAGTTTATATACTCAGCTGCTAACTGAAAGTTTGAAGGTTCAAGTCTATCCAGAGGTATCTCAGAAGAAAGCCCTGGCAATCTACTTCCAAAAAATCAGCCATTGAAAACCCTGTGGAGCATAGTTCTACTCTGACACACATAAGTTTGCCATGGTTGTAATCAACTTGCAACTTGATAGCAACTTGCTTTAAAACCACAAGAAATATGGACATTCCTGGGCTTTTCATTTTTCTTTTAAGAAACCATGTCCAGCACAAATGAAAAGTCCTAGGCACATGTCTAAGAGGCATGTGATTGGTAGAAAAGGATAGGCATATAATGATGAGGAGTGGCTTGCATCCTTCATGTTCAGCCTCTAGGTACTGGTCTCATCTCTTTATACCCAATTCACAGGAAATCAAGAGCTCTTTGTGGAGTATAAGGCACAGTACGAGTTCACATATTGCTATATAAGGAGTATATTTCCTGTCTTGGAAATATAGAAAAGGATGTTTTGAGGGTTGAATCTTGGGCAATGATATTGTTTTTTTGGCCCCAAGTTTAGGAGAATGAGCACAGATTGTCTCTCTGGGCAAGAGTTCTGCCTATCACCTAGCTCTGAGGCCTCCCAGATGGAGATCCACACCACCACCCTCCTCCTGCTGGCTCTTTGCAAAACAAAAACTTACCCTCTGACCTGTCCTAAATTATCCTTGCCTTGTGTCACTGACAACGATAAACATATCATCCAGAAGGCCTTCACTGCAGCCAGAGCCAGAGCCAGAGCAATGATAAATATCATTCATGGCAAGATGTGGTCAAAGTGGAGGGACACAGATACTGAAGGAATTTCCAAAACAAGCTGCTAATGATCATTCATACCCACTGCCTTAGAGTGATTCTAGTTCACTGACCTGTAAGACGAGTAGAACTGGTCCATGGGGTTTACAAGGCTATAAATCTTTACAGAAGCAGAATGCCACATCTTTCTCCCTTGAAGTGGCTGGTTGGTTTGAATCGCCAACTTTTAGGTTAACAGCTGAGCACTTAACCACTGTGGCACCAGGGCTCCTCTGTTAATAATCATGAAGACCTTTAAAAGAAAAAGGGGCAGGATCAGGTTATCTATGGGGAGGGGGGAGCAGAAATGGTTCATTCTTAACTCCTTTATTTCCTACCTCAGAACTAAGAGGCAGAAGGATCTCTTCTCTCCCTGTATTTGAATGTCACTTTTTCTCAACCCTGTGCCTGCCATGCTGGTCACTAGCTTTTCAAAGACTGAGGACAAAAATTTAGTCAGGTGCCCATGAGTGGCTGCTGGGGGAAAAGTGTGGATCAGCCCTGTGTGTGTGTGACAGAAAGCCACCCCTGCAACCCATAGAACCCTGTTACCAGAATGCCCTACTGACTTCCTATCCAAAGACTGTCTGTCCCTGCTTAGTTTTTCAGGTTGGATCCAGGACTGCCATCTGCTGAATGAAAAAGTCATGTGGCCCAGGGCTTGGCTGGGTTTGGTGATTAAGTCCAGACACAGAAAACACCTGGTTTCTTGAAAGGTTATTCTCCCAGCATGAGGCATGATTACAGCTGCACACAACTCTTACTGTAAATCATGGGGATTTACAGCAGGTACCGGGAAGGGAACACTCATGATTTCCAGCTCTTCTTAGCATGAAACTGTTTCTTGCCGATTCCCAGCTAGGATGCCTTTAGTTAGACCTGAGTTCAGTTTATGAAAAAGAGGTTTATACTGCAAGCCTCATTTTTCCTCTTAGGCATGTCACCATGTAAAACACTTGGGCCTCATTTTGGGACATTATATCTGTTAGCTAAGCTAGCTCCCTAAAGATGGACAAAATGAATCACCTCAGAAGAGGTGAGTCTTCAACATGGTGTTAGACTTTTATCTAACTTTCATCTAAAGGGAGTGGGACCATGGGTAGAGTGGAATGGAGGTGGAAGATGGAATCAGGTTCAGCTTTAATGGATTTGGCTGGAAGCAGAGGGCAGGAAGGTGGCAGCACAATCTCCTTCATTGATTTGACATGGCTCTTTGGTAAACTGAGAAAAGCTGAGTGTCTTTGTTCTTTAGTGCTGCTATAAAAGAAACACCAGGAGGGGATGGCTTTAAAAAAAAAAAAAAAACCACCCAGAAACTTATTTTCTTAAGAGGCTGGAAGGCCAAATTCAGGGTTCCAGTACTGGGGGAAGCTTTCTGTCTCTGTTGACTCTGAGGGACGGTCCTTGTTCCTTGGAGATCTTCTGTAATGTGGCATCTGTCTTTCCCATCTCCACTCACTTCTTTCTGCCTAACCTGCTTGATTTGTATCTCAAAGGTGATTGGCTTAAAACACAGCCTATACAGATACTATTCCCAAATGAGGTTACATCTACAAATATAGGGGTTAAAAATTACAACACTTAATGGTAGCATAGTGGCTAAGACACTTGCCTGCTAACCAGACGGCTGGCGGTTCAAACCCACCAGCCACTCCTCGGAAGGAAGGTTGGGCAATCCTACTTCCGTAGTGATACTGCCTCGGAAACCCAAGGAGGGGTCGCTATGAGTCGGGGCCGACTCGACGGCACATAACAACAACAACAACAATTTTTGGGTACACAACTTAACCCATATTAGGAACGGGAGAGCTAAAAGAGGAGGGGCATTTGGTATCTGCTTTAGTTACCTAGTGCTGATGTTACAGAAATAAAAGTGAGTGGCTTTCAAGAATAGAAATTTATTTTCTCACAATTTTGGAGTCTAAAGATCCAAATCAGAATCTCAGCTGTGTGGCTTCTTTCCTTGTCAGTCATCTGGGTGCTCCTTGGTTCTTTGGCTTGTAAAAGATCTTCACATGGCATTAGTCTTCCCCAGTATATGCTTGTCTCTGTGTCTGATCTGTTCTTTTTATAACTCAGAAGTGATTAGGTTTAGGATACACCCTACATTAGTATGACCTCATTAACATAACAAAGAAAGCCCTATTTCCAAACACGATTGCATCTGCAGGTATAGGGCTTAGGATTCTAGCACACATTTTGGAGACGTGATAACCTCAATCAACCCATAACAGTATCCTTTCCAAAAGCCTTAAAAGAAGCAAGAAAATTGCAATTGGGCCTGAGTCTACCCATTTCTGTTAAAATAAATA